CACAAGAAGCAGTGGGGCCGCGGAAAACCACACAAAGCCACGCCCGTGTTTCTGCCCATTTAGCCGTTTCTTCCTCTGGACAGGCGCCGAGCTCCCGACGTCCTTGCCCAACTCTGTCTCCTGTCCTCGCCTCCCCGAGGGCCCTGGTGGCCGGGAAGGTGCCGATTCAGTCTGTGGGCTGAACGGTTTCTAATCACCACTCTGAGATTGCACTATAGATGCACCTGTTTCCATTTTCCGATGGCGCGAGAACATAATGATTTTCACCCATTTGTACTCATTCAAAGCATTCACTCCAGTAGGTGCGGAGCTAATGGACAATGACCTTTGAAACTGGGGTTACTTGGGGAGACCAGGTAGTGACCTTGGCCAGAGCTTGTCTGGGATTGACTCAAGGCCTGGTGTTGCTCTCCGCCCCGCCCCGGTCCCCAGAGCTGTGGTTTCCCCGGCCAGGCCACGGCCACCTGCTGCGCCGGCGAAGAGGCCCCTCCGTGCTGCTTCTGCAAACTTGGGCGTTGAGCTGGGGCAGGCTTTTGTTTGGGGTGCTGCCTGGGGAAAGAGGGGCCTTCCGTCTTCTTCAGAAGCCAGAAGGAAAGTCCTCCCAGGCTCCTTGAGGAGTCTGGTCACTGCCCCCGTCTGGCTTCATTCATGCCTAACAGCTACGCAGGCAGCCTTTCTGCTTTCTGCTGGGGCCGGTGCCCACCCGCCGGGCAGGAGGGCCCTCGTGGACCTGCTGTGGCTGGAGGAGTCATTTACTGGACGTGGGTGCGCTCAGGCCAGAGGAGTCCATCACTGGGCGCGGGAGTGCTCCAGCCAGCTGCCTGCCCAGGGCTCCCGGCTCCCCAGCGGCGGCCTCTGCGGACAGGACCAGGCCTCTCTTCTCTGGGAGCTGCAGACTCCATGCGGCCTCTGGGCAAGGGACCGAGGCATCTGGGCCCTGAGCAGAGTGTCTGCCCCAGGGGCCCTGTAGGCAGAGCCTGCCCAGGCGCCCAGCTGCCCAGGAAGGACGTGGCTCCGCAGGGTCGGTGCTCGGTGCTTCTCCGGCGAGGCCTGCTGGACCTCTGACCCTGCAGACCGTGTCTCCTGGGCAGAGCGCTCACAATTTGCTTCCCGCTTTCAAGCCTTTTATCTTGGCCTCCTTAGTGTTTTTGTTTGTTTGTTTGTTTTGTTTTTAATATTTATTTTGTAGAAGAGGGGTGTAGGGAAGAGGGGTGGGAGTGAGAGGTCTTTCCAGAGACAGAGTGGGGAGTAGAACAGGCGGATCTATGAAATGCACTGCTGAGGGGAGCAGCGGGGAGACAGGAGAGGTCTGCTGCGCTCCGTGGGTCACTCCCTGGCCAGGGATGGGACTCAGGCCACAGTGGTGATAGTGCTGAGACAACCCCTGGGCCCCCAGAGAGGCCCCTCCGCAGCTTCTGCTGATGATCATGCCCCCGCTGAGGTCTCTCAGCTGATTTGCTTGTCTCCTTTCTCCACCGCTCAGTGATCATAGCACCGCTCTGTGTTGGTGGTGACTGTAAATTCCCAGGAAGCTGAACAAAACAGACAAGGCTGTGACCCGTCACCCAGCCTCCCCTAGATGTAGCAGCTTGTGTCCCCTCCCCCCTTACACCACTGCCCCAGGTCTCCATGCGCAAGCGCCTGTCCGCCTGTCTGTCTTCACACTTCTGTCACCACTTTCAGCAGACAAAATCCGCCTATCTGTCTGGCTGCCGCCTCCCTATACCCACCCCCAGCCCGACCCTCCACCACGCCTGGCAACATTAATATTGTTCAAGAAATGTTACCTGCATAGAACCATGTAGCAGGTAACTTTAACTCACCCTAGTTCCCTTGAGACCCGGGTCTGTGTGTGTCCTTGGCTTTTTCTTCATT